AAGAAGCAATCCATTTTAGATTTAAGCACATCCAGGATTCTTATTCACTTTGTTTTAACATGGGGAGACCGGGCGCAAATCTGAATCTTAATCTGCTTTTAAATGTGAGGAACTCAATTTCCTTCTTCTTCTCCATCTTCTTTTAAGTGGACTGTCCCTTTATTCCTACTTTTTCTTTCTACCTACTCGTTTCCTACCACAAGGGAATAATCATGAGGATTTCTGCAGGAAATGATCTCAGAGCTTCTGTCAACTGCACAGGAAGTGTCTGTCCCCTAGTAACCCTCCCCCTCTTCCTCCTCTGGTCAGATCTCAGGGTTTTAACAGGAAGTTCCCTCCTGGAGAAAACTGTTAGTGCTCCAACTTCCTTCCTGTTGGACTGAAGCAGGAGGAAACTGTCCGTTAATGAACGTGGGTGTTGACAGAACACGAAGAGATGAATTCTTCTTCAAGTCAAGTCAACTTTATTATCAATAATGCCATATGTGCAGGACATACAGAGAATTGAAATTCCTCCTCCAGACGACATTACGTTCAGTCTAATAAAGACTTTGTGGCCTCATCTCTTACCTGAACCCTCCACTACTATGTATTAGTTTTAAAATGCCTCACTGTTGCTATGGTTACACCTGGCGAAATTTTCCAGCCTCTGAATCAGTAGCTTTTGTAAAGGGTGGTAGTCTCATTTTTGTATTGGTTGTGTATTAGTATGGATAGGGTTAGTATAGAATTGTCTACAAACTATTTGTAGACCGATTTCGTCGCAGTGGCGCGACTAGACTGTCCCACTTCAGAGGCTCCTCCGAGTGCAGCCGACAAATGTGTCCTTCTAACCCAGAGCAACGAGGGCTCCACCGGGTGGAAACTGTGAATGATTCCTAAGATGTTGTAATCAACCTCTTAAAACAAAGAAATGTGACTGAGGTTTGATATTTTCCAGTTGAATCATAAACTTTAATATAAATAACTAAAAAGAAAAAGAAAACACACATACAAGGAAGCTGTTATTAAGAAAATAAACTTATTTTGATATATATATGTATATATCTTTTCTATATTGTGTATTCTGTAAAATAAAAGTTTGAGTTAATTAATTATTGATTAACCAGTTATCAACTAGTTAAGTTGTGGGGGAACATCAGTAACATCTTGTCCTGAATGTTTTGTCTCTGACCTGTAACGCCTCAGCAAGGCTCAGTCTATGTCCGTCCACCAGGACAAAGGGACGGGTCTTCTCCAACAGGGGGCGCCACAGTCTGTCCACACCTGGGGACACACACCACAGACTGTAAATACATATGGTGACATTACAGCTCCAAAGGGTGAAGCCAAAGTGTCTCAATCGCTCCCTGGTGACTGGCTGCAGTATAGGTCATAATCCCTTCCTCCATGTCAGTTGATGGGACTGGGTGTGTTTCTGGATGTGTCAGGAAGTGAAGAGAGGTCAAGGTCATTTACAACCTGGGTCTCAGCCATCAGCTCTTTCATATTCCTCTTCCTGAGTTTACACTGTGACATCATGAGCGCTGACAGATTACTCAAAGTAATAGTAACACTTGTCGACGTATGCTGCACAGACGGACGCTCCGGTTATTTTATTTATCTTCACACACAGCGACAGGGATGAATTAAAGGCAGACCGATGTTAGTGCTACTTGAAAAGCAGCAAAGGTCCCGTGTTCTTAATCCACAAATCACAGAATCATCTCAGACGTCACAGTAATGCTGTTGTCTGGAAAATAAAACTATTCAATTCAATAAGATCAGTTTGTTTCTGTGGCGTCGTTCAGATTCACTGCAGCAGGATAACAACAGATTAAACACACACACACACAGTCAATGGTCCTGTTCACATCTGACGTTAACCCACCTACAGAGTAATCTGATTACAGGAGGACAGCTCAGAGTTCAATAGTTCAGTTAGAATCAAGCTCCAGTGTGGTGATAACAGTACTTCACTAAGTGACATTACCATAGTAACAGTACTTAAATTGTTCTCTGTTCATCTTTATATTCACTCTGATATGAGTCCACAGATACCAGAGTAGACAGTACTATATAGATATAATATATATCATACATTATATATATGTGTGTGTGTATATCAAAATATGTATGATTACATATATATAATATGACGTGTTCATTTCCCTCCAGGGATCAATAAAGATATATTTTTATCTGTCTGTCTGTCTACATTTCTGTCTTTCTGTTTACCTGTCTGAATTTTAACCTGAGTAAAGTACCGTAATCACCCCGGTATCGGGTAACGTACCTGTGACGGTCGCGGTCAGACCGTCGGTATCGTCCCGCGGTGCGTTCAGGGACCGGCAGACCGTGAGAGCTGCTCGGCCGCAGAGCAGAAGCAGCAGCAGCAGGAAGGTCGCGGCAGCTCCGCTCATCTTCTCTGCGTCACCGGGCACCGGCAACAGGTCTCTGACGGCTTCGTGAGCACAGCTCGCGTTACTTCACCTTGTCCCTGCACCGGGGGAGCTCCACCAAAACTCCATGGTGTTCCCTTCCCGTCCGCGGGACCGGACCACAGCCAGGGGAGTGACCGTGAACTCGGTTACTGTAGCAGAAAGCCCGGTCCGGTCCTCCGGTCCTCCTCCGGCCCGCTATCTGCGTAGTTTTCTGGCGTAAAAAGTTCCGTTAGCACCAGGTGGACTCGGTCGGGTTGTGTTTGGTAGACACCGGATAGTCCGTTATTTGTTCCCGGGGCCTGAGGGGGCGCAGTACCGGGAGCTTATACAGGGAGCGACCGGTGACGTCATCGAGCTCAGTGAAGCTAACCGGAGCTAGCTACAGGCATACCGGAAGTACCGCAATCATCAAAATAAAGGTTGATGAACCAAATCTTCACGTGTCACATTTACATTAGAAAAAAGAAATATTGTTTAATGAAGTTTATAATTTCATTAATAATTGATTTATAATCCATGTTTACCTGCTTTTCACTGTAAATAATGGTGGACGACAGCTTCCTCAACTGTAGCCAAATCATCCCCTGGTGTTAAATAAATGTCAAAGATGGTTTCTGTCATTTCAGGTTGTTCTTATCTCACTGATGTTTGTTCCAGTGTTTCTGATCAGTTTGGTTTTAATTAGTTACTTGATGAGAGAGTGTTGGCGGGACCTCGATACCTCGGCTCCACGGTCACTGCAGACTCTGACTGTAAATTATGTCATCACCACAAGGTGCCAGTGTTGGTATCAAAGATATTTTAACTTAATTGTATTTACTGGGTGCAGGACAGATAGATTTTATTTTGAAAATATGTTGGATGCAGTATTTATACACCCTTCAGAGGGTTTTGAGGAAACACACAGACACATACAAACACACATGTCGTAAATCGTCCTTCCTGCAGGAAATTAAATCAGACTAAAACTGAAATAAACCATCACTCCAGAGCTGGCCACAGACCACCAGGGGGCCTTGACCAAAATTTGGTTGGGGGCCCTTCTGTGACGTCAGCTCTTCAGAAGTGAGATAAGTTTGTTTTCAAACTGTGAGAAGGGAGCGAGTGTGACCTGAGCAGTTCAGGGTTCAGCAGGATTACAGCTCAGTGAGATGGAAACTGATTCAGCATTAGATTAAAAAGAAGTGAGCGCAGCACGTGCTGGAGATCAGCTGGTTACATAACTCTGCTGTAGGCAGACATTCTCATGTGATCATCAAACACACACGTGACGTCACTGAGCAGCTGATTCAAGCCTCTGAACTGCGACTCCACACTCAAGAAAAATCATCAGGTTGAAACGTGCAGCGCCACCTTCAGGCTTCGTCCACACTGACACGTTTTAGGTTTGAAATTCATCACTGTTGCTACGGTTACGCCAGGTGTAGTTTTCCAGCCTTTTGTAAACAATGACGCATACACCCACGTTCTCTTTTGTGATGACTCGACAACCAGCGGTGAAAACAAAGCGTCTCTAACACTTCCTGTCAGTAACAGTTCCACCTCGTCATCGCTCAGATAAAAGAAATCCCTGCTCTGACTTTTCACCATCACTGTTCCTCCTTCAGAGGAGTTTTGTTACTAAGCAACTACTTCCTGTTCACACCACATGTCCCATGGACGTGAATGGCCATGTGACATCTGTTTTCTATGTAAATGTGGGTGGAGCCACTGAGCCTCTTCTGTGTTTATGTAAAACTGAACATCAGTTTATTAAATAAATTCACACAGGAGTGAAACAAACAACAAAAACAACTTGTCGTCTAACAAGGGTCGTAGTGCATCTCCGAGTCTTCCCGTCTGCGACAACAGAGGTGACGCCCACACCTGCTCAGATACTGACACACCTGCAATACAAATACATCACATGGAAAACAATATGGGGAATTATTGTAACAAATCTATTGACAAATGTGAGTCTCAATCAGTCTGTGTGTATTCAGATTTGTGAATGTGATCATGGATCTGCAAATCTATACTTCGAATGAACATGTGTAAAGAAAACATCTTCAAATATGTATTGAGAGTTGAAAGTGCATTTATATCTGTAAATGTGGAGACAAATCTGTGGACACATACATAGAGACAGCGGAAAAAAGTATTTTGCTTCAAGAGCTGAAAATACAGACAAGTGGTCAGTTTCCACTCAGTCGGCCTCTCAACTGTTATTTTTACATACTACACGAGAAACATGAAACTCAATATTCAACAGTCCAACAAACTTTTACAACAGAATGAATTAGAAGAGTGAAACAGTTTTATCAACATGTAGAATAAGTCTGAGGTGGACAAAAGATTAAATTAATAAAATAAGGGTTAGGGTTAGGGTTATAATAAAACAAGTATATAAGGATAAATGCAATAAACCAAAGAAAGTAAAAAAATTGAAATTTAGTGAATCTGATCCACAACAATCATTAAATTAAATATATGATCAGTTGATAAAAGATTCAAAGACCTGAAGATTTCAGCAGTTTCCAGAATTAAAGAGAAACTCACCTCCTCACTGCTGCTGATGTGTTCACTATTCTGGGAGGAAATCCGACACTGGAGCTGCAGATTGTAGACGTATAAAACTCGCTTC